ATGGTTCTGGCCCTTCCCTTGTAGTTTTCACGCTGTGAAACCACCAAGAGACATTGATTTTCCGAAGGCATGTGTTTATGACAATTTATGTGGTTGGAAAACAGACAAAGCTCATGAGCCGAAGCCCAATAAGCAAGGTTGTGCATCATGTGAATCACTCGAATTGGCAAGCACCGCTTCACGGTTGTTTAGTGTGCCATGGGCCCGGTCTCATCATGGGCCCACAATATGGCTTTTGAAGTTGTTTGACGTGGCCAAATCTGGTATCTGATTTGCGTCAACTGTTTGACGTAGCATTCGACCCGGCATCCCCCGTCAACATCCAAGAACCGACATAAGAGTTGCATCACCATTCGCATGGTCCACCCCACCACAAAGAGGACTCTGGGTTCTTCGTTTATTCTTGGCTAAGGTCCACGTGGTTTGTTTGTATTTGGCTGGGAAATCTGAAGGATATGTTGCCCAGGGTATTCCAGTAGCGCGCACACTGTCATTTCTTGACAAAACTGTTTACCTGAAGTTCGCTCGCCATAGTGCACTAGAGTTCGTCAAGCAAACTTGGCCAGCCATGTTGACGTGACTCAACTCAGTACGATTCCCCGAGGTTTCTGTTTAAGATACCATCCAAAGATGTAGGCATCGTATTTGTGATCATATTCCTCAAGGACAGGGTTTCTTTGCACCAAGCCCCTAACGTTTCGCCTTCTTTCCACCCTTTACTAAGCCTTCACGCCCTCATTGTCATGTAATAGTTCAGAGCTAATGTATACTACTAGTGTTCTGTAGTCAGTTATGATGATGGTGTTCATTCTCACCGATTCGAAACGTACACAGTGTACGATGCTGACTCAGCCTCTGACCTTCAAGTTTCTCACCCGAAACATACACAGTGTGCGATGCTGACTCAGCCTCTGACCTTCAAGTTATAATCGGTGAGATGTCACAACCTGAACAAGTGACCAAGTCAACTGCACTGCATACATTGAATGTGTGTGTGGCGAAGGTGGCTCCGGCATTGCTTCAGCAGCTTCATTTCTGCTTCTTGCAATACTTTCCCCTTCTCTGCATCCCTTGAATAGTTCTTTTCTTTTAGATCTGTCAATTAGGACTGATGACTTCGTCCTGCGTCGGTTTCGCAAGCGAGTTGTTTACGTCACCCGACGCCGACATCCTCAGCCATCTCGAGATCAATCTTCGAGCTTAATGCATAGTCTGTACTACCGCACTCTGAAACAAGCAAGTCAACAACCTGATCTTGAAACCACACTGGAATGGCTTGACATTGATGTGCGCTGTGTCTAGAGGGGGCGAGATAGCCCAAGTGGTTAGAGCCCGAATCTACTGGCCGGAAGGTCCGTGGTTCGAACTCGACCTCTGCCTCTTGACTTCCCCTGTCTAGGCTTGGGCGACCTGGCAGTATCCCAGCCCTCTGGCCACATATTGTCCTCCAATGGCATGCCGGCCACAAACTCAAATAGATTATATTGCCATCATTTACCGATGATGAGGTCGTCTTAGAACACATTTGTGAATTTCGACCATGAGCTCGTCACTTGTCACTTCTTTTGTTTCCCAGGGCCACATAAGGTGCGCGCAAACAGTTTGACAACTGGGAGACTGACAGATCCGGGTGTTAGACGACTTTACCAGAATCGTCTTCTCGAGTGTCTCCTACATGTTCCACCATCATATGTGAATTTATACTGGGACGAGATCGCCATCTCGGTGTGCAGTGCTGAAAGTTTCACTTGTAACTCAACGTTATCAAACTCACTCAAGCACTGGATATCAGACCTACGTGGCACTGCGTAAATCTTCAGGAAATATCACCGAACATAATCTGATCTAACGAAGAGTCAGACGTCAAGTAAAAATGGACATGTGAGCCGACCACGAAGCCTGGCAGGCACGAAAAGTCAAGGAAATGGAAGAAGTCCAGATAGCCAATAATGCCCGAAGATTATTTCAGTTGTTCTGCGCGATCGTTCCCCGGAATCCACTTAGGAACGAGTCCATCAAGGACCGAAATAGAATGTCCATCTTGAATAACGATGAACACGTTGACCGTTGGGCCGAATACTTCGAACAGCAGTTGTCGTGGCCACCCGTCACGAAGGGGCTGGCCCTTACCGTGGTTTGACGGTTAGCGTGCCTCAGCGACCCACTGAACTCTACTAGGGGCTGTCCCCGCGACACCCATATAGTCTCATACCAGGTTGGTCAGTGGTCAGAGGTCTGAAAAACAGTCTCCTGGCCATCTAGGTTGGGGTTTAGAACATGTGGTGACTTGTTCCGTAGAAATGGTAATAAGTTTGCATTTCCCGCCAACCACCGCTGACTTGCGGTTAGGCATTTGAGCCAAAAGCTTTGGTTGAAGACCCTAATGGCCCTCCTGTCTATGTGTGGGCGCCCTGACAGTATCCCAGCCCACGTAAAACCATTATACCTACGTCTAACAAAAAAAATCGTGCCACATCGGGTGGTGTCATCGACTGGGCCGCCTTACTCGCTGCATACAGCAGGGCAGGTAGGCAAAAACAAGCTACTACCGACGACTCCCTTCTTTCTCTGTCATACACTTTTTCCCACCCTCTTCATCCCATTGATGATTCTCCCCTTGTAGGCCCAGCACCTAGGACTGATGACTCCATTCGTTTTGCATCGGTTTTGCTTGCAGCGTCTGCTGGTCACATTTCGCAGATATCTTCAGGTATCCAAATCAATCTACAAGCCTGGACGCTCAGTCTACCTAGCCGCCTTCAATGTTCGCACTCTTAAGCAAGCGGGACAACAGTCTGACCTTGCTCTCACTAGGCTGGCTTGGTAAATGTGCACCATGTCTCAGAAACAGGAATTCAAGGTACAAGCACAGCGATTCAGCTGACCACCCCATCACTCTCCATTCCTTTACGGCTGGGCACCTCTGGCGATCCAGACCGCTGCGGTGGGATCTGCATGGGTTGTTATCGTCCTGAGTCACCGGGCAGAAGTATCCTTGCTTGACTGGGTGCCTTTTGATAGTCGCCTCTGTACGGTTCGTCTGGCAATGTATGTGAAGGAGTCTCAGGCGGGAAGTTGAGATATGTCTGTTTGTTTTGTCTGCTTACGCCCCAACTGACTGTAGCTCCGACACCATCAAAGACGGGTTTTATGACTCCCTGAATGTTCTGTTGCGGCGAGCTGAAAGCTCAGATATTGTTGTGGTTGCCAAAGCTATGAATGCACAGGTGGGCAGGCTTAGCGCATCTGAGACTCAATTTAGTGGTCGACATAGATTGAACTCGGTACGTACGGACAATGGTGAGCGCTTGCTTCCCCTGTGCTGATCGCAGACTGTCTATGCAGTACTAAATTCCGTAATAGCCGATGTGGTCTGGCCACATGGTGTCCTCCAACGACATGCCGGCCACAAAGTCAAATCAGTCTTAATACCACCAGTTACCGATGGCGCAGATCAGTAACTGACTGCCGATCGTTTTGGAACACATTTGTGAACTCTGACCAAGCACACCTCCGGAGTCCCTTCTCCCTACGTTTTCCAGGTTCGCATAAGGTGCGGAGAAATCAGTTGGAAACTGGGAGAATGGCAGATTCGGAATCGTCTCCTACAGTCTCTTCTAAAGGCTCCACCATCAGATGCGAACTCACTGGGACGAGATTGCTGCCTCTTCGTATTGTGCTGGGAATTTTATCTGTGACACGGCATCACTAGAATCACCCAAGTACTAGATATCAGACTGAACGGTGGCACTCCTTAAATCCCAGAGAGGTATCCCAGCCGGTCCTGAACATAACTTGATGCGACGAATTATCAGACGTCAAGTGAAGGTAAGCGTGCAAACCGATTGTGAAGTGTGGTGGACACAGAAAGCCGAAGAAATGGAAGAAGTCCAGAAAGCTGGTAATGCCCGAGGATATTTCAGTTGATCCATGCGACCGGTCCCCGGAAACCACCTGTGAACGAAACCATCAAGCATCAGAATGGAACGACCATCTTGAATAAGGAAGAGCGCCTCGACCGGTGGGCTGAATACTTCGAACAACAACTATCGTGGCCACCAGCCGGCACTCATCTAGAGCCCACATCATCA